GCACCGCCCTGTGCTTCGGGCAAAAGCACATCAGCCGGCACAGCCCGCCCGCCGACGTCCCCTCGCCGCCGCCGCCGCCGCCGCCACCGCCTTTCCGCCTGCCTCCGCGCGGCTTGCCGCCTGCCGCGCTGTTGCCGTCGCCGCCGCTGGCAGCGCCGTCGCCGTCGGCGTCGGCGTGGGCGCCCGGCTCCTCGTTGCCCTGCACGATCATCCTGTAGCCGGCGTCGCGGGCGCAGGTCACGTGGAAAGCATGGTAGCACTTGGCACTGCCGGCGCACTGCGGAAGGCGGGGAAAGGGGGACACAAGGGGGCCGGGGGAGGGGGCGGCGTCACGGGCAGGCGTCAACAGGGGTCAAGCGACGCCCGTTTTGGGCGGGGCGGGAACGTGGATATTCACCAGGCAGCTGGGGGTTGGACAGCAGAGGTGAAAACATTTGCGAGAGTTCGCACGGCCGGCCGCCTCGCCGCCGCCGGCGTGGCGGCATGGGGCAGAGGGGGCCGCCCTGCAAAAGTGCTTGCAATTGAGGGTTTCGGCCAGCGCGGCAGCCTGTGGAGTGAAGGGGGTTGGGGCGTCCCACCTGGATGCAGGCGCCGTAGGGCTGCCTGCAGACACCACACGTCAGCGACAGGCGGGCGGCCGGCAGCTTGTCAGTCCCCAGGATCGGCTCCATCCTGGTCAAATGTGGTCAGCCCAGGGGTGTTGGGGTTGGCTTTGTCGACAGATGGGGAGGAGGGGGAGGGCGGGACTGGTGGGGCGAGCCCCGGGGGATTTGGAGGGCGTTGGGTGAGAGACAAGGGTCAGCTGCCGTGATACGCGCCAGCACGTGCGCGTGCAGCGCCGAGGCAAGCAGCAGGCTGACTCAGCTATTCGGGGAGACATCGGCGCGCTCATTGTCAGCAATGTGTGTAGGCAACAGGCTTTGTCAAGAGACTGCCTCCTTTCATACACACACACGCTTCCCCCTGCACAGCACCCTGCGCTTTCTTATAAGGGCACATGATCAGGCAATACACATTCGCGCGCACGAACACACACACACACACACACACACACACACACACAATTTGTCTCTCTCTCTCACTCTCTCACTCTCTGTGTGTTTTGCGTACCTGTGTCTCTTTTTGCCTCTTCCACTCCCCCCTGTAAACGATACGTGCACACACAGATACAACCCCCCTCCGCACACACACACACACACACATACACACACACACTGTCACGCGCACACACACACACACTTGCAAACGCACGCACACACACGCATGAACACACGCAAGCGCACCTGATCTCGTCCGCCACCGCGACCCCCGGCACCCACGTCGCGCACAGCAGGTGGCACCACCGCCCGTCCCGCGTCGGCTTCATGGCGCCCCCAACCCGCGGGCACAGCACGCAGGGCGGCGGCGCGGAGAGGCCGGGCAGGCGGCACACGTCGCAGAGCCAGGGCGCGCCCGCGGGATGCTGCGCCACGCCGTAGCAACCCATGTGCACGAGCAGCCTGGGGCGAATATTCAGGGTCAGGGGAAAGGGTGGTTGGGGTTGGGATGGAGGGGGGATGTGGGTGTTGAAGGTTGGGGTGCGCGCGCGGGTTGAGGCCGGGGCGGCCGGCCGTCGGCGGCTGAGGCAGGGGGCCGGGTTGCTGCGTGGCCGGGAGCGCTGAGCCAGCCTGGCGCGGGTTACGTCGAACCGGTGGATATCAGGATGAGGCGATGGAGGGACGAGGCGCGGCAACCCTGAAACCTGATGGGACGGAACCCAGGGGCACGGGACCGCGGCTGCAGAAACAAGGATGCACGTGTCCTCAACAACAGCGGGGTTTGGGGGTTCATGCCCAGGGTCAATGCCCGGGTATTTGACCCTGGGAGCCTCGACCCGGTAAGGAATTGGTTTCCGCAGGCCCCGCATGTGCCTCTGACGAGCCTGCCTTCAAGCGCCCCCTCACCTGCATCTGTCGCACTCCACCAGCCAGTCCCCGTCATACTCCGCCTCGGTGCCGCACGCGTCGCACACGCCCGCCAGGTGGCGCCGCATCGGCTGCGGCCGCACGCCGGGCGGGAGGCGCTGGTGGGAGGCCTCGTCAGCGCGGCGCCGCAGCTCCTCTTCGGCGGTCTGGGGTGGGGAGAGTGCGGCAGTGGGAATTTCAGGGCGGCTCCCCAGTGTCCACCGCGAGGGGTGACATCCGGTGCTGAGTAGTGCTGCGAGGTGAGGGATGGCTGTGGGAAGACGGGGCCTGGGCCCAGGGTCAAGCACGGCGTGGCGCAGGGTCGGAGGAGCATGTCGTTTGCAGAGTGGGGAACGTGCGTTGCAGTGGCTGGGGCGCCGTGGCCAGATGCAGGCTTCAGGTGGGGCCAACGAGGGCGGCGACAACATGATTGTGATGAGTAGCTCGGTCACAAAAATAAGGCCGCCGCATCAGGCGCCGCCAGCGGCGCTTACCAGCGGCGGCACCTCGGGCCTCCCCCCGCCCTCCCACGCGAGCAGCCGCTCCAGCCGCGCCGCGCCCGGCAGCAGCTGCAGCAGCGCGCGCACGCGCGGGTGCTGAAGACCAAACGCCAGCGGCCCCGAGCGCCCCGCCGCATGCGCGGCGGCGGCGGGCGCGGCGGCGGCGGCGCGGGGCGCGGGGGCGGCGCCCTTAGCGGGCGCGGCGGCCTCGAACAGCGCCGCCCAGGCGGCTGTCGGCGTGGGGCCCTCCACGGGCGGCTTCCCGTCGGGTGTCACCCTGGTGTTGTTATTGCATAGTTGGCTGTGATTCAAATGTTGTGTTGGCGGCGGGCATGGCACAAACAACAAAGCTGCCGGCCAACCGCCCCGTACACCCAGCTGCCCGCACAAGTCACAAGCTTGCACCAGCCTGATGCGGCTCCCCGCCGCCCCGCCTGACGAGGCGGGCACGGCTTCGTGCCACCCTTGGCCCACTCGCTCATCAAGCCGTGCTCGCGCCCCCTTAGCACAACACACACACACACACCCACACACACACAACACACACACACACACACACACACGCGCACACACACACAAACACACACACACAAACAAACACACACACACACGCGCACACAAACACGCACACACACAACACACATATGCTCTTACAGGTGGACGCTCAACATCCAGACACACATAAGCGAACGCGCATGCACTCACACATCATCCGCACCTGAACAGCGGCCGCCCGTCCGCCTCCAGCACCTCCACCGTGTGCCACGCGTCCTCGTCGCCGCCGCCGGCCGGCGTGCGCGCGAGGCGGCGGGCCGCGTAGCCGACCGGCCAGATGTACTTTTCGCTGTGGAAAGCGCGGTTCAGCCACTCCACGCGGCCAAGAGACAGCAGCTGCGGATGGGTGGGTGGGTGTACGGGGAAAGGGGTGGCGGGCGGGGCGTGCGGGGCTTAGGAAGAAACGCCATGGGGGGAGAGACGTCTGCGGTTGCACAGGCAGAGTCGTCAGCAGAGCGTGGCGGTGGGCGCGAAGGCGGCCGCCAGACGGCTTGGCCCCGAGCGCCCCGTCCTCGCCCGCCGGCCAGAGACATGAGGGCGACCCTTCAACCCCTAAGCCCCTGCCACCCCGCCCTACCTTGAGCCCCGGCCCCAGCGACAGCGGCAGCCGCACGCCGCCCGGCCCCAGCGCCTCGGGCGCCCTCCTCACGGCCTTGGTCCTGGCCCCGGCTGCCCCCGCCCCCGCGCCCGCCTGCTGCTGCTCCCGCTGCTGCTGCTGCTCCTGCGGCTCGTCGTCGTCGCTGCCGGCGTCGTCAAACCACCGCTCGTCATTGTGCTCAGGGCACATGTGGGATGGCAGCTCCCCCTCCTGGGGTCGGTTGCGTGGGGTAGAGGTTTGTAAAGTTGCTGCTGTCATGCACCACTCAGCGGCGTGTTCCGAGGTGGGCGGCGCCCCAGGTTTTGGCACGCAGCTGCGGCCTGGGCGGCGGCAACGGGCAGCTGCTGGGGCGCGCCGCTGTCGCAGCCTGCTTGCTGGATGCTGGAGGGGCCAGCAGTATGTCCCACCAATACCCGTTCATGGTCACTTGACCCACTCACAACCTGGGAGACCAACGAACATGCATGCCAAACAAGATTCAAACGTGACTGCGTGGCCGCATGCGTGCGTGCGGCCGTTTGCACACAGACACAGACACGCTCAACCTCACCACCCCATCCAGCCCACCCTGAGGTACGCGATGAGCTCGCTCAGCCCAATGCAGTAGCCGGCGCTATTCTTCGACCGCTTCTGCACCAGCATGCCGCTGAACACCGCCGCCGCCAGCGCCACGCCAAACGGCACGAGGCTGGACAGCGGCACGCGCTCGCGGCCGCACTCCGCCCCTCCGGTCCCAAAGTAATGGACACAGGCCATGGGCACGCGGGGGTCCTTCCTGCGGGTGACGCGGCGTCAGGGTTTGGCGTCACACCCATGGGTTTAGGATTCACGTTTCAGAATCAGGACGGTAGAGGTGCGGCTTGAGGTTTGAGGGGGTGACGCCAGAACAGGCGGGGCCGGGCGGCCGCCGGGCTTTCAAGGGGGCTGAGGGACGGATGCCGTGAGGGCTGAGCAACCCGCTGTGGCAGCAAACGAGAAGGTGCAGGGCGTGCCTCAAGTAGAGGGAGCCGCGGCCTCCGCTCGAGGTCCAGGCCCCACTCGCTCAAAGGCAAAATCATGCAGGTGAGGGCATGATTGCGTGCCGGCGTCACCAGCCCACCTGGGGCGCCTGAAGTCGTCGGCCTCCTCGCAGGTGATCACCAGCGCCGGCCACACGGGGTCGCTCTTGGACGTCACCCACACCACCTCGCCGGGCGCCGCGCTGAACCGCACCTCCTCGCCGCCGGGTGGCGGCGCAGCGGTTGCTTGCGCGCGGTGCTCTCCGGCTTGCTTTTGCTCGCGCTGCTGCTCCTGCTGCTGCTGCTCATGCTGCTTCTGCTGCTCCTGATGCTGATTGAGGGCCGCCTCGGCCCGCGTGCCGTCCTCCTCCATCGCATCAGGCGTCTGCTCCACCTCCTGCTGTCGCTGCTGCTGCTGCTCCTGCTGCTGCTGCTCATCCGCCACCAGTGTCCCCTTCCCGAGCCCGCCCTGCCCCGAGCCCTCCGGCGACGCCGCCGTCTCCCCATTCTCCTGCCGCGGCTGTAGAACGCCGCCGGCGGCCGCGCACCCCGCCTCGCCGCCCGCATCGGACGCCCGCGGCGGATCCTCCGCGCCGCACCCCGCGGTGGGCTCCGCGCTGTCCGTCCCCTCGGGTCGCCCCGCCTGCTGCTGCGCGCCAGACGACGCCCGCCGCGCCGCGCCCTTGCCCCGGTGCTTGCCCGCGCTGCCGCCGCCGCCGCTGCTCGCGCGCCCCCGGCCGTGCTGCGGCTGGGCCCGCCACTCCCCGCGCCCCCGGCCGCCGTCCACAAGCGCCGCGAGCCCGACAAAGGCTGCGGCCTTGGCGCGCAGCAGGGCGGGAATGTCGCGCTCGTCGTCGGCGCAGCCAAACCCGCGCACGGCCTGTGGGGACACGGCACGGCGCGGCGAGTGTGGCGCGGCATGCGCTCTGGTGATCAGAAAGTGTCGACAGTGGCCCAGGCGGGGGCGGAGCGCTTGCACCCTGCCACACCTACATCACAAGCATGTCGCGCAGAGCGCCCCAAGGTCGTTGAGCCTAGACTGACATTAAAAACTTTCTCTTTTTTCCTTTGTCCGGTGCAGAGCCGTCGCTGTGAGGAGTTTCCCAACCCGCCTGGCCCGAACCCCGCTCACCCATTCCTCAGACCCGGGCCGCGCATACGCCACCCCCTCCCCCTCGCCGCCGACCCCGCCGCCTCCCCCGCTGCCTGCCGCCCGCGCGTCCCGCCAGGCCTCGACCGCGGCGCCCCAGCGCCAGTACGCGGCCGCCAGCCGCCGCAGCTGCACAGCGCTCGGCGGCGGCAGCGGCGCGCCGGCGCTGAAGGCAAGGCGCACGCGCTCGGCGCCGGCCCAGAGGGCGGCCTCCGTGCCGTCCTGGTAGCGCACTGTGTGCTGCGCGCTGACCGCGTCCCAGGCTGCGTGTGGACGACGCACGCATTGCAGCGTGTGTAACGACGAGACCACCAATACTTGCCCTTCTAGACAAGACGTCTTGACAAAATAGGCCCGCCTGTCGTTTTCTAGAGGGGCCGTCACGCACCAAAAACAACCAGATCACATCACGTCGTCATAACCTCGTCCAGATCACTATGTCCGAGGTTTAGAGAGATCTCACCTGTGATCTCCCCGAGGAACCAGGCGTCGTCCAGCTCCCAGTACACCCGCACCGCGCGCCCCACCAGCGCCTCGGGCGCCACACGCGCGGACACGTCCATCCTGCGGCGCCGCCGCGCGGGGGGCGGTGGCCGTGGGTGCCGGCAAATGCATACGGGTTGCTTTGACACCCGCAGCACCTGCCCTCACGGGGTCTTCCCAAGGAAAACATCCGGCAACCACCATCGCGGTTGGAACCACACGTGTCCTGGGCACAAGGTCCTCGTCTCACAGATTCACTCCCGCCTGCCAAACGCTCGACCACCGGCGATCAAGATGGGCGCTGCCGCTCGCCTGAAACCCCAAGCAAGTCCGCTTGTGTAGCCGCCCCAACCCCTGCGGCGCCGCCCTCCCTCCCGGGCTCACTCGCGCCACTGCAGCGCAGCGCCGCCGGCGTCCCGCGCCGCCTCGAACGCCTCCCGCGCCTCTGCCAGCCGCGCCCGCATGTCCTCGACCCTGTACGCCAGCTCAGCGCTCGGCGGCGGCGGCTGCCGCGGCAGCGCGCGGCTGGCCCAGACCTGCGCCGCGGTGGGTGCCACGTGTGCGGGTGCGAGGGGGACCCATGGATGAGGAGGCAATCCTGGTGCCGACAATTGAGCAAACACTTGTGTACAAGCAATCATGGCTTTGATGCATTTGCCGCAATTTCCTTGCAAGACCTTTCAGGGACCGCCGCCGCCGATGACTCACCAAGTGCTCCGGCTCGAGGCCCGGGACGTTGGCCGGGTGCGACGCCGCAGGCCCTCGCCTCAGCAGCTGCGCGGCTGCTGCCTCGCCGCTAGGCAGGCCCCTGAGGGCCTCCTCGATTGGCAGCTCGGCGGCGGCCCTGGCCGTCGCCACCGCGGCCGCCAAAATTGCGGCGTGCGTCTGCGGCACCGCCGCCGGCGCGCTCGCCGGCCCCTCTGCCACCGCCGCCCCAGGGACGCCGCCCTGCTGCAGCTGCAGCTGCGCCTCAACCGCCGCCGCGGCAGCCGCCTCCGGTGGCGAGCCAGCCTCCGTGCCGGAGCGCGTCGTTGCATCCGCACCCACGCCCTCCGCCAGCGCCGCCGGCGCCACAGCTCCCTTGACCCTTTTTGCCTCGCCACCCTCGACAGCTGCGCCCCCTTCGCCCCCGCCAGCCGCCTCGCCCGCGCCGGTCGGCTTCGATGCCTCCGCCGCCTTTGAGGCCCGGCCGCGCTTGCGGGCCGGGGCATCCATCGCCGCGGCCGCCTTGGAGGGCGCAGACGGCGCCCCCGCCGCGGCGGGTGCGGGGGAGGGCGACTCCCGGGGCTGCTGTTTGCCCTGTCTGCCGTCCGCAGCCGCGGGCTGCAAACCATCCTGGCCCACGCGGCTGCCGGCGGCGGGCGCTGCCAGAGGGGCCGCGGCCTCGCCCGGCGCCGGCGCCGACGCCTGCTGCTGCCTGTCACCCTCGGTTCCTGTGGGTGGCGCCTGTGCAGGCGCGCGCTGCTGGTCCTCGCGCGCGGGGGGCTTGGGCTGCTCTCCCTGCCCCTGCGGCTGCTCGCGCCCGGGCGCGCCCTCCTCCCTTGGTCCCGCCTGCTGCTGCTTCTTGTGAGACTTCTTGCCCTGGGGCTGCTGGGCCTGGGGCTGCTGCCGCTGCTGCTGCTGCTGCTGCTGCTGCTGCTGCTGCTGCTGCTGCTGCTGCTGCTGCTGCTTCTGAGGTCGCTCCGCCTGCTGCTTCTGCTGCTTCTGCTGCTGCTGCGGCGGTGGCGGCGGCGGCTCTCCCACGTGTGGCTGCCGCCCCTCCTCACGCTCCGCCTTCCGCTGCCGCGCCGGCGACCGCGCCTGCTCCTGCTGCCGGCCCCTGTCCTGCAGCTTCGCAGGCGAGCGCTGCTTCGCCTGCGCTGCGGCCCCGGCGCCTCCAGCTGTTGCTGGTTTCGCCGCTGCGGGCGCAGCCGCTTGTGGCTGCTGCTCCGCCCCCGCCTCTGGCAGCTGTTCCGCAATGTCCATCAGCTCGGCGGCGCGCAAGCGCCACGCATTTGCTGCAGCGCACGGGGTACATGAGTGGATTTAAGGAGCAACAGGCGCGTGAGATGGGCACACGACGGTGCAAGAGAAAGCTCTGTGATGTCATCCATTGCTCAGGGGCGGCTATGACGTACATGTCGGCTATGGGATGCTCCGAGCATTGTGCGTGCGAGGGCGGTGTGATGACTCACCCTCATCAAAGGCCCGCTGGTGCTTGGGGTCCGCCCTCGGCGCCCGCCTTGCGCCGCCCGGCGCCGCCGCCGCCGCGAGCGCCGCCTCGGCCGCGTCCTGGCGCGCGTCGGCGGCGCGCAGCAGCGCCGCGGCCTGTGCCTCCACGTCGGCGCGGGAGGGGGGGTGGTGGGGAGCACCGGCCTCCGAGTGCAGCAGCAGCTTCCCCTTATCCTTGCAGAGTAGGGCCACCTCCTCGTCGCCGTCGTCGTACGCGATCTGGCATCAAGTTTGCAAAGAATCACAGCAAGGTGAAAGCGGCGCGATGCAATCGGACCAAGCGACCCCAGGAAATTGTGGACTGGTTCCTGCTGCGTCAGCAACATCGCCGCAGCCAGCCCAGCGCGTGCAAAGCGATATACGCGGCACTTTGGCGCAGCACCCACCATGTGCTCGCAAGTTTCCGGATTGTAGCGCCGGACAGTCCCTGGCCAGGCGGCTCCATCGTCAAAGACGACCTTGATGCGCCTGCCCACCAGTGCGAGCGGCGCGATCTGCGCCGCGACATCAAGCCTGCGTGGGGCCGTGCGCGATCGTATTGTTGTATTCACGGCGTGTTGAGGTTGGAAAAGCGACGCAAAGGAGATGCATTCGACGGAGGTGATCCATCTTGCTCACAATTGAAAACCAGCCGAGCCTCGGGGCTTGGAGCGCTTCGAGGATGCTTCCACAGCATCATGGTCTGCCCTAACAGCGCCCCCTGGGACGCTAGTACGCTTGGGCATTCGAACTATCAGATCAGGCGCGTGTAGAGGACATTCTCGCCTGGCTGGCCGTTCTGGTCAAATGCGTGTCTATCATGCATCGAAATGCGACATCGGCCCACTGACGCATTCTTGGCGGTTGTTAGCTGGGCCTGAAGCTGCAACAGCAGCAGCTGCCCAAGTGGTCACACAGCGTGTCCTGGGTGGCGCACCCCCGTATGCGTGTCTGGTGCAAAGAGATAGTGTGTCCAAAAAGCGACGCAGCTTCCAATGAATGAAACATCCGCACACTGTACGCACCACCAACCTCATGCTCACAGTACAGTACTGTAGGGAACCCAAGCAGCGCCCTCGGGGGCGGTGCAGCCGCCGCAGCGCAAACGGCTGCCCCAGATTCCCTGCACCGAACGCACATCCCTCGGGATCTCTGGCGCGTTCTGGGCTGCTGCTGAACTAATGGGCGCAGCAGCAGGACTGGCAGGCCTATGGCGCCCCTCACGATGCTGCTGTTATTTGCCTCATCCTGTGAGAAGTACAGGCTGGCATGCAGCGCCAGCTCGCTGTGCGGGCATAAATTAAATTGCCTGTGTGACCTTGGTAAGTGTATGTGGCATATGTAAGCTTCCAGCAGCTTCAAACCAAACAGCCCAGCAGCCAGCTACAGTAGTATCATTTTCTGGCCGGTTGCGAGCACCTTGCGTGTGGCAGGGCAATGCGACGTGCCTCCAGCTGGTTGGGGCATCTTGCACGCCGTGGGATGATTGGCCACCTCTGAGGGCCGCTCTTGGGGGTACGACCCAGCGGGATGGGTCCACCGGGGCGCGATTTTTTGAAATGCATGTAAAATGCAATCCAGGGACACGATGCATGTGCGCACGCAATTCATGCAGCACCATCGCACAAACCTGTGAGGACACGCCATATCTTGGGCTGCCGATACAAATGTGCCGGTGTGCCCTGCAATGTGGCTGCACAGTGTGACGGTTTGTCAGCATGTGCCGCTTGATGGTCGGCGCATGTTGACTACGCCGATGTTGACCGGCCGCTGCCATCGCGGAACAACGCTAGCAGCACCACAGGCCACGGATTTGCTTTGAACCTACCTTATATCAATGATCCTTGTTGGGTTTTCCAGCTCGCCGTAGGCAAATCACGACGATGAGCCGCGAGCCATGCATCACAGCAGTGGTGTGCATTGGCCAGGGGAGCGCCACACAGCAGGTGTGTGTCCCGTGCGTCGTTGCGGCACATACCCAATGAGGCGTACTATAGCACTTGATAAAATCATAAGATACATCTAATCGCCTTGCCCCGCACGACCGTCACAAGCACGTACTGTCACACACACCCTTGATCGCTCCGTTACTGTTGCTGCGAATGTACCACGTACAAGCGGCATGTACGCGTTGAAAAGCACATTTGCACCGCTTTCGGCATCAACCGGAGCTCGGCGACGCAGCCAAACGTACAGAACTGTCGTGTCGCAACACAGCAGCAAGAGCACCATCTGCAGCGCACTGCGTGGCGTGCGCGCGCCGCGCCAGCCAGGGATGACATGGAGCCAAGCAGACGGGCGGCTGCAGTATCGCCCCCTAGCATCAAGGGCATTGCCCGAGGCAAAAGAGGCGGCACCCCTCACAGAGGTGCGGAGGTCGGGTTGGGACACCTAGGGCGGTGTTGGCTTGGCCGCCTCATCGCCAAGGTGTGGAGCCTCTTCAAAGCAAAGTGATGCAGTGCCGCAAGCGCCTGCACTGCGACCTTACTCTGACCAGTGCGCCGCCGGCTGCCACGGTCGCCGGCTGCGGCAGCATTTCGCTCCCCTCCGCCCAAAAGTCAAGTGTAATTGGACAGCATGGGTTGGTGGAGCTCCTGCAACGTCTTGTCAGCCCCTGCATGATGCAGCAGGCTTGTACTTGCAATGAATATTCCCAAGACCCTTGGGATTCTTATATGTCAAGTGCAAGCCTGCTGCATTGTGTAAGGGCAACGTAGTATTGCGCACAGACGAACCCAAGCAGCAGACCTCGCTACGGCAGGCCCCAGAGCGCGGCGGCGCTCCTTTGCGCTCACACGTGCACGCTGCCCCCCGATCGTGCGCAGGGAGCGGGCGGCGACCCCGAGGCGCCGCTGCTGGACCCTCTTGACCACGACACTGTCGACTGGCGCGCCACAGGCCTTTGCTTCCTGTTCCCCGCGGTACGGGTGTCGCAGAGGGCAGATGCCATGCAGAGCAGAGTATGTGGTCATGTCGCCGCAGGCGATCCCGGCCCGCTTGAAACGTGGCTGGCACAGCGTAGCCCCAGCACTAACCTCCTCTGCCGTCCCTCAGCCACCCCGCCATCACCCCCGTACGCGCCGCGACGCGCCCGCAGCTGGGCGGGCTGCTGTTTGGCTACGACATCGGCGCCACCAGCGGCGTGCTCACGTCGCTCACCAACCCCCAGCTCAGCGGCACAGACTGGTGCGCACGGCTTGGCGCTTTTTCAAGCCCGCCATGGCGCAGCCGTCACGACACCTTCAACCGCACCTGTCTTTAGGCGGCATCTCAGGGCGCCTCCTCGCTCGCACGCCCCGCCTTTGTCGCCCGGTCGCCTGAAAGCCGCTGGCATGGCGCACATTGAAGGCCGGCGGCGCTGCGATGCGGCCAGCGCGGGGCCTCTCACAGCATCAGCACACGACTTCTCTCGGCCCCGACCCCTCGACCTCCCGCAGGTCAAACCTGTCTGCCTTCCAGTCCGGCCTGGTGGTGTCGACGTCGCTGCTGGGGGCGCTGGCGGGCAGCCTGGTGGCGCTGGCGGCCGGCAACAGGCTGGGGCGGCGCACAGAGATTCTGCTGGCGGCCCTGCTGTATGGTGAGGTGTGGGGGGAAAGACAGAGAGAGAGAGGGAAACAGAGAAAGAGAGAGAGTGTGTGTGTGGGTTATGGTGTGTGTGTGTGTGTGTGTGTGCATGTGTGCATGTGTGTGTGTGTGTGTGTGTAAGAGTGTGTGCTCAGGTGTGTTATGTGCAGGACGTGTTTGGCAGAAATGAGGCAAGCCTACATGGGATGTAAGCCATCATGCAGGTCAATTGGATGAGGCAGCAATCGAACAGGGGAAGAGACCACAGGAATGACACGCCAGGCGCCAGTCACATACCCCAAACAGCCGAGCCCGCCCCACCGCCCACGCGCCCAGCACCGTCGCACTGCCGTTGCGTACCAATCCCCTGCAGGGGTCTCCTCTGCCAGCCTGGGCGCTGCAGACAGCCTCAACTGGCTGCTGGCCTGCAGGTGGGTGCCAGCTGCAGGGGGCATGCGCTCGGCTGCGTGGCTGATGTGGCGGCAGACAGCCACTGGTTGCCATGCTGGAGGCGTGATTGCCCTGGGAACCATGTTGCGCCCCCGCCAGCGACACCAACAGCGGCGGTCGCAACAGGGGCGGGTTTCGCCACGCATGCGTCAGCAGCCCGGTTGCACCGTTTTCAGCCTCTTCACAGCCCATCCGTGAGGCAGGGCGCCCCGCCTCGCTTGACACCGCCCTCACAACCAATCACCTGCCCTGCGACAACAAACGCACAATCAAATACTCCCCCCACACACACACACATGCACACACAAACACACACACACACACACCACACCAGGCTGGGCTATGGCCTGGGCATCGGGCTGGCCATGCACGCAGCCCCAGCATACATCGCTGAGACTTCCCCTCCCACAGTCAGAGGCCTGCTCATCAGCCTCAAGGAGGCCGCCATAGGTGGGGCCCTGCCCAATCACTCGCCCCCACCCAGCCGACGGGCTGAGCGGGCAGCTGCGGGGCAGCTGCGTGGGGCGCTGTGTGCTGACCCTCGGCTGCGCGTGGGCCCAACGTGCTTTTACACTTTCCAAAAGCTGCGGGTTTTCTGTTATCAGCCAGGATGAGTCATACCTTTCTTTCTTCTCCCAACCGGCCGCCACTATATGCAAATTTCCACCCATCGCCCTGCCCCCTTCCTTCTCCCCCCCCCCCTCCCCAGTCGGCGGCATTCTGCTGGGCTACTTCACGGGCTACGTGTTTGCGGACGACGTCGGCGGCTGGCGCAGCATGTACGCCTGCGCCGCGCCGCTCGCGCTGGCGCTGGGACTGGGCATGGTGCGTGCAGCCTCCCTGGGCCGGGGGTTATGAGGCTCTCCCATGATCAACATGATAGGGCGGATTGGTTACTGGGGTGTGGTCATGGAGGTTGACTGCTGCGCAGATTGATCCTGCTTGCGATCCCCCATTCCGCTGCCTGCCGTCACACAACCTCAACCGCACCCCCAACCCTCGAAACTATCTCACGCGCGCCCCAGGCCTCGCTCCCCGAGTCCCCCCGCTGGCTTCTGCTCTCCGGCGCCGGCCGCGACGCCGCCGCCGCCGCCCTCGCGCGCGCGGAGGGCGCCCGCGCGGCCGACCCCCGCGTAGTCCAGGCCGAGCTCGACGCCATGGTTACAGGCGCCGCGGCCGACGGCGGCGGCGGCGGCGGCAGCCAGGGGGGCGCGAAGCTGCTGGCGCTGTTTGGGGAGGCGCGGTACCGGCGGCCGCTGCTGATTGGTTCGAGCCTGATGCTGTTTCAGCAGATCACGGGGCAGCCCAGCGTGCTGTACTACGCGAACCAGATCTTTGAGAAGGCCGGCTTCTCTTCTGGCCAGGTGAGGCCTGGTTTGCGCTGTTCGTGTGGTGGGGGGTAGGGGAGGGGGATGCAAATCAGGGGGATGGGAATTTCGGGAGGTGGCAAGCCTTGCATGAGAATGAGGCTGCTGCCGGCTGCACGCAGGAGGATTGCGGGGGCTAGAGAGCACTCACAGAATCACATACACACACAAATACGCACACACACGCACAAGCACACGCGCAGACTCCCTCGTAAGACAAGCACGTACTTTAAGATAACCACACTCCTTGCCCATCGGCCATGCCCGCAGGAGGCTGCGGAGGTGAGTGTGGTGCTGGGGGCGTTCAAGCTGCTGATGACCATCGTGGCCGTGGCCACAGTCGACAAGGTGGGCGACGCGTGTGGCCTGGCAGGGTTGAGGGCCGGGGTCGCCACCCTGTGGGCTGACAGGAGAGGAGTGCTGCCATACAGCAAAGGAGGGGGTTGGCGGGCAGGAACCCTGGTGCCCTCAGGCGGCCGCAAGCGCTGCTCTTGCCAAAAACGCTGAAGCTTGCTTGCCGTATGCAACAAGCAAAGACGGCGGGTCTCATCGTCTCAACACCCTCCACCCCCTGCGCCGCGCCACACTGCCACACCCCTCAATGCCCCAGCTGGGCCGCCGCCCGCTGCTGCTGGCCGGCGTGAGCGGGATGGTGGTCGCGCTGCTCGCGCTGGGCCTGGCGCAGGGCTCCGGCGGCGGCGGCGGCGGCGCGGTGGCGGGTGTCAGCGTGGTGGCGCTGCTGCTGTATGTCGGCTGCTACCAAGTGTCCTTTGGGCCCATTTCCTGGCTCATAGTCGGAGAGGTGAGTTCCATGGTCGCGGAAGGCGGAGAGTCGGTTGGTCTAGATGCGATCAGTGACCTGCATAGATAGACCGAGGAGTCAGCGAAGGGTGGAACGCGTACGTGGGGTGTTGCAGTGGTGCGGAGTGCTTTTGCAGGGTGGCCGGTTGAGCGCATACTGTGGGGTTGAGGAGTGAACGCCTGTGTCCGTAGCAGGCCGCTGGCTGGGACAGGACAGGTGGCACGTGCAGGAACTCGCGCCACAGAGTGACGTGTGAAATGCCCCCTCTTGTCCCAGCCGGTGCTTCAACACAAAATTGGAGGCTGCCTGTTGCTGCCTGCAGACCTCGGCTCCTTTGACAGGGCCCTTGCTTCGTGCCCATCACACACACACACACACACACGCAACACAACACAACACAACACACACGCACATCCTGCCCCAGGTGTTCCCCCTGGCGGTGCGCTCCCAGGCCATCGCCCTGGCGGCGGTGATGAACTACGCATCAAACTTTGGGGTGTCCCTCGCACTGCCGACAGTGCAGGAGGCCGTGGGGCTGCCGGCCACGTACCTCGGTTTCGCTGGGGTGGGCGTCGTGGCGCTGCTGTCGATATACCTCACAGGTGGGGGGGGGGGGCCCGCGGGCGGCAGCGTGACGGCGTGGCATCAAGCGCGACGCGATGGGGAGGGAGTCGGTGTTGTGTAGGAAGGCACTGGTGGGAGCAAATGGTGCCGTCATTCCTCGGAGAACGAGAAGCCGCCACCCCAAAACACACATGCACGTATATACACACACAAGCACCCACGCATGTCCACACGTCCGCGCGCGCGCGCAGTGCCTGAGACCAAGGGCAAGACGCTTGAGGAGATCGAGGCCATGTGGTCATCCGGCGGGACCACCGCGGCCGCGGCGATCGCCGCCCCCAAGGCACGCGATGAGGGCGGCAGCCAGTGAGGCTGTTCTTTCATGTGCAAACAGCACACAGGAATGAGCGCTGCTCTGTAGGCTATGTGAATTGACTGTCCTCGAGATGATTTGTCGCGCTCGATAGATGCATGATTGGTGCACATGTACACCTGCATGTACTTGGTTCATGGATTTTCTCCTGATTGTTGCAGATCGCAGCTTTGATGTAGGATGACGGCTGGGTGGAAACACCAAAGTTGGAGTGTTTAAGGTTGTAGGCCCTGTTGATGTTGCAAGATCGAAATGAAAGGGTGCCCTGCCACACCAAGGCAAGGCTGCATTTGGGCAGGCTGCCTGCGGGCCGCCGACCGTGTTACATCCCTTTTTGTGTAAGCTCATGCCTACAATTCGTCGGCGACAAGGCAGCGGATTACGATGCCGCTAAAGGCGACACAACAAAGCACCCTGCTGCAGAGTTGCCAGAATGCAGCCGCCCTGCAAGCTTCACACAGCAAGCCCACCACAGCACTGGCTCTCGTGACTCCGCCCCCATCAGCACAAGGGGGGGTCTGGGAGGCCCCAAGCTCGGCCCAAACACCCACACACAAACACATGCAGCACGTCTGAGCCCTTGCCGTGCAGCCAAGAGTCGTGGTCCCCTGGCTCAACTTTGGGATCGCCGGCAGGGTGATGGATGCGAGATCGCCGGTACGGTGTCAAATGTATTGATAAAGGCTCGCTGTCACGTGGGGCTCAGGCAGGCTGGTGGTGGTGGGGGGGTCGTGAGTCATGTTACGTCATCGTGAGCTCCATGATGGCGCTGACGATGTCGCCGCCACTGGCCTTCAGGGCCTTGACCGCACGGCCCCGGGAGACGTTGGCCTGGCAGGGTTGGGTGGGGGCAGGGGGGGGGGGTGACACCGACATTGAGCAAGCGCGCGTCACCATGCAGAGCGGAATAACAAAATCGGCAGGCCGGCGGCGGCGACACTTTGAAGGGGGCGGTGGGGTGGGGAGGTGCGCGGAGTGAGGTGGCGGGGCTGTGGTGGAGGATGACTCGTCACCTGTGTAATCAAGGGATGCTGCTTTGGTTTGCATGACACATGACTTGACATGCAAACGAGTTCATCGCCACGCCGGCCTATCGCAGCCGCTAAAGGGCTGCCGCCGCCGGGCGTGCTGCATTGGCGTGAAGTGCTACCGCAGCAAGCCCGTGCCGCAGCAGTTCAGAAGCAGAAAATTTGTTGGTTGCCGCAACCCGCCTTCGAGCTTTGTTTATACACGTGTGAGAACGCAGCAGAGCACGGCCACAAGTGTGTCGAAACAAGGCTCAAGCCTCTGGGAGCTGGTGGTGCAGTGCAGCTGTCCAGCAGATGCACTCCCGTACAGGTGGGTGGGCGCCAATCATCACGCTTCACATCCGGGGGATGCATCCCCCCCGATGTGCACCTGGATGCTTGGCGCCCATCGCTTGTCACAAGTCACAGAGCCCCAACCATGTCGGCCCCAACAGCACACTGTACTTCAAGTCCCCAAGAACCGTCCCCTGTCCGCCCGACCATGCCGTGCTCAACAGCAGCGAGGGCGGGTGGCATGCACGCCCGACCCCAGGCAAGTAGCAGGGCGTGCTGCGTCTGTAAATTAGCGGCCATGCATACACGGACGCACGGCCCTGAGCCGTGATATGTTGGAATTTGTGTGGTTTCAACCCAGCCGCAGCCATCACCTGCGTCATGACCAGCTCGATGTCCTTGGGCTCGACGCCGGTCTCGTCCCCGTCCTCGCCAGCACCCTCCTCCTCCTCCTCCTCCTCCACTGGAAGGTCAATTCGCAAGCGATCATTTGCGACCGTTTGATGCATGGAGGGTTGAGGCGAGAGGCACCAACACAGGCAGGGCTTGCTTGCAGACGAGCACCCCGTCGGGTTGCTGGCGGGTGCCTGCAGCTCAGCCCCGGCCAGGGCGGCTGAACCCTGCGCAGCGCGGGCGCCCGCGGGGTCGCTCACCGACCGCGCTGGGCCCGCCGGTGTCTGCGCCATAGTCAGCCCCCGAAGGCATCGCAAACTGCTGCGCCATGTGGGCTTGGGCCTGTAAAAAGACAAGAAAAGGTGCGGGGCGGTCCGCAGTGTGCGAGGGTCGGGCATAGATGACGAGGAGTGGAGCGCGCACAGCTGGGTGGCGGTCGAGCAAGGGGGGCCGGGTGCTTGGGGGCGTTGAGGAGCAAAGCTAGAAGGCTGGGTGATCCGAGCCAAATGGTCGGCTGGGAGGGGGGGGGCTGTGCTCCTCCTGTGCTTGATGGATGAACAGGGGGTTTGCACGGGCAGCTGGCTGGCCCCTTTCGCCCCGCTTGGCCGATGATGCTGCAACCCGAGCGGCGCGAAGGCCAGCCCAGTCACTGGCGCCGCGGCCCCGACGTCTCCACGCACGCGGCATCCCAGCAAGGCAGAGTCTGCCCGGACAGGCGCATGGTGATGCGG